GGGCCCCAACCAACATGTGGAACCAGTTGTATGCACACAAGTCAAAAAATAGAGAACTTGAAGAAAAAATGGAAACCCCTCTCCAGTGGATTTCTGGATTAAGAAAATTGAAAATTTCCTGAAATACTGAGAAATGAGGAAAGAAAGAGAATGTGTTATATTTAAAGATTTATTTGAAAATCGCATATGTACCAAGATAAAAGTAAACTTGAAAAATAATGCCTAAGAGGGACCTTAGACAAAATATTGCACCAAGAATTATGTAAAATAAAAATGGAAAGCCATTTCCAAAAATTAACCTCAAAAAATATGCTGATTCAAGAGGAATCACAAAATGCTGGACCAATAAGGATCCAAATTCACAAAATTTTGAGAAATTGAAAAAAGAATGGAAAACTTTATTCAAACATAAACAGCAATAAGCTGGATCAAGTCAGATGAAAATTTCTTAAAATATTGGGTAATGGGAAAACAAAAGACGAAATATGGATCTTGAAAGAAAACAAGTTATGTTAAGATGGAAGACAATTTATCAAGATAAAGGCTAAATGGGCAATTATTTAAAGGATTTTGTCCAGGAAGCTAAATTTCAAACAAGGCTAACATGTCGGGTGTACGTAAATTTGTTAAAAACGGAAAGCATTTGAAGAAATAATGAAAGGTCCTTTCCTGGTATGGACTCAAACAACACGGTGGATCAAAAAATGGAATTTTTTTAAAATATTGGAAATGCAAACAAGAATGGGAGTCTTATATCGAAGGATGGATTTCAAACGATATTCTGGCGTGCAATTGATGTTATTTAACACAGAGGGGAAGTAGAAGGCTTTTGTAAAAAAATGGAGCTTGAAACAACATGCTTCTCGAATATATTTGTCAAAATACAGCAAAATTCAAAAAATATCGGAAGGAATCTTTCAAACATGTATCCTGAAACACATGTTCGATCGATAAAAATCTAAATTTATTAAAATAACAAAGTCCGATGCATATGATGGCTAAAACATAATGACGTCGTTCAACAGCTTCTGTTTGTTCTAAAATTTATCGATTTCACTACAAATTTGACTTGACATGTGGCAACCGATATGCTGCGATCCTCAAAACCGGCTGGTATAGTGAGTTGATGATTTTCCATAATAATTTTGTTCACTTACAACCCTTTTGTGAGTTGTTGACGTGCTTGTGACACTTACATACATTTTGTTGCTCACAGTTATCAAATTTCACAGTTAAAATTACGTACGTTGATCCACCTTTTGTTTTTGGTTGCATAACCAAAAACAAAAAGGGGATTAAAGAACATATTATGTCAAAAAAAAAACTAAAAATTCAAAATGGCTGATAATGTCAACATATATGTTGGATAGATGCATATCAACACAAAAAAACATTTTTAACAAAACTCGAATATCTGAACAATATTGATTGTTTTAGGATGGAATCAATAAAAGGGTTTTGGGTTGTTTGCTGAACGAGGGTTGTGACCCCGAGAATGAAATAAAGAGCAGAGTTGAACAAGCCAGAAATGCTTTTTTGATGCTTCGTAAGTTTCTGACTGATCGCAAATTGGACTTCAACCTCCGATACAAGATGCTTAAGTGTTACGTGTGGCCTGTTCTCCTATACGGAATGGAAGCATGGACGTTAAAGGCCAGTTCCATTAATAAACTTGAAGTGTTTGAAATGTGGTGCCTGCGTCGAATGCTGAGTATACCATGGACGGACAAGGTCAGAAATGAGGAAGTACTCAGAAGAGCTGGCTTACAAAATAGCGAACTTTTTAGTTATGTAAAAAGTAAGAAGACTACATACTTGAGGCACATATTACGAGGAGAAAGATACACTTGTCAGCAACTGATACTCGAAGGGTAGGAGAGGTCTGGGACGTAAAAAAATGTCATGGCTGCGCAATATTCGACAATGGACAGGAATCCACAGCTATGAAATGCTTCGCAATGCTGCTAAAAAACAAGATTATTTAATCCTGAATATTTATCATCTCACCTGACAAGACGATGTACGGTGGACGCCTACGCAGAAATGCACGGCACCTTAAGAAGAAGAATAGATCACTGAAACTTTGTTGGGTACCTGTTTGAACAGTTTTAAGTTACCTCAAATCACGGTTTTTAGTCTGATCTAATGTTTGACCAACATTTTTGATACATACAGTATATAGAGAAATTCATTTAAATTCTGGTCCTAAAATTTTCACGTATGGTGAAAATTGCATTCTTATGTATATCACTTATTGTGATAAAACTGATAGTTGGCTTAACTTTTTATAAAAATGTGTACGTCATTAAAAAAGTAGCTTGTCGTTATCGTTAAAAAATTTACTGTGTAATACTCTTGTATAATTAAAATTAAAATATTGTTACGATTTATCAATAAACACGAGTTTGTCAATGAATATTTTCATTTCATATAAAGTAGGTCAATGTTCTTACGCTTTTATAGTTCAAGATATTCATTTTTAAACAATTTTTTTTTGAGCCATAATTCTTAATAATTACAGTAAATTCGAATGCCATAAACTTCTCTCTCGATTTTATCGCTCTTCTAATTCCTTCATGCCATGAGCATCGAGATGTACCTCTTTTTCTTCCTCCATGGGGCTTACATCTGTGAAGTTTTTGGTTTTACTCAATAGGTGTCCAAACATTCAGGTAAATTCAGGGAGAACAGTACGTCATTTCCTATGGGTATTCCCATTCCCTGGCAGTGGTTTCTCCAATTTTGGAGGGCTGCCTCAATATATAAATTAAACAGTAAGGGTGATATACTGCATCCTTGTCTCAGTCCTTTAGTTACTTTTATTGGCCGAGTTGTTGTAAAGCTTGCCACAATTTAAATCTTGGAACTGTATCATACGCCTTCGTCTAGGACCGAAGTACATCTAGCCTTCATGGATCTAGAAAAGGCGTATGATACAGACGCCATAAACTTTTATAGTTAAATTAATTTCCATCGTTTGAACCCCCCAAATTGGAGGAGCAGAATCTCCTGGTCAGAGTTTTCTCCATTTTCTGAAACGTTCCAGTTTTTTGGCGGTGGAAACTCACCATATTCTATGCCATCTAGTGCCCAAGGGTTACGACGAAGACGTGGAAGTAGGATTTGTCTGTACGTTCTACCGAACTGTGTACATTTCTCCCAAGTTTTATCGCAATCAAAGCTTCAACAATATTTTTTTAATTTTAAATAACTTAAATGTATGGTGTTATAATAAAAAGTATTAACAATTCAGTAACAAGCAGATAAAATTTCATTGTCCCAATAAGATGCTGCCTTTACATCTTGTCCAAATTTCAATAAAACCAACTGTAAGTATTTTCTTTTATATTTTTTACCTATTAATGTCAAAAACTTTATTCTACTGTTTCTTATAACGTGACCAAGGTATAAAAGTCTTTGAAGAATCTGCTCATTGCGAACATGATCTATCCAGGTTATTTTCAAGAGTTGTCTATAAAGTCTTTAAGTGTTTACTTTAAGCAGCTAGGTTTCACAGCCCTATAAGAGAACTTAGGCGTAAGCTGTAGGCTGTAAGCGTTAATTAATGTTGAGTTTTGGTAGTATTTAATTGAAGACCTGATTGGTCTCCTGAATTACCTACTTTGTATGTTTTTAAAGAGTTTCCGGGTTGTCAGAAGTAACCGCAATGTCACCTGCATTCCATGAGTCTTTATTTGACGTCCTTTACTGATCTGCAACTTTAGACAATTCTTTCAGCCATTTCCTCTGTAATTTCGCAGAGTTTGCTCATTGCCCTGTTCACTTTATCCGTTTTACTGATGTTATCTAAATGGGCTGTATCCAGTGGGAACACTTGTTTAAACTGTACTGTGGCCATGAAACACAAAGCTCAGAGCATGTTTGGGTGGGAGCAGAAGGTTGGAATACCCTTTTCGCTTGCCACAAAGCTGCACTAAATTCCTTTGTCCATTTTTGAACATCCTGCACTATGCGGTTTTTTGGTGCACCACAGAATGGTGCTGGTACGATAAAATAAGTACAATCTCATTACCAGCATTTCCTACCAGCTCTGGCACTTCGCCAAAGTTACTTTGTTGTTTATCTTATTAGTAAGTTGGTCGTTATTCGTTATTCATTAGGCTTTTAGCACTAAAGACTTTAATTTTGACTATATGAGCAAAGTACAAAAAGGTATTAACATTACAGATTAAATGATTTGCTCTTTGTAACAGGGGTATCGGTTTTTGGGGATTTCCATATATACCCCACTAACAGGCCTAGTATTAGAAACTTTTAAGGGCTATAATCATACATATATCAGGTATTGTGTAAAAAATAAATCAATATATGCTAGCATTTAGGTAATGTCAATGACCCATTCATCCATTCAATTCTCTGATGTTAAAATTATCAAAATAAAAATTATTTTCCAACTTACATATCAGTACAAGAATTAAGAATATTCCAGTAGCACACCAATCCTGGACTAAACAATCTTTATTGGTGGAATAACTGTTAGACCCTTGCAGATTATTGGTTTAATTGTTTTTTAACAATTCTTTCATCACTTTAATTTTGTCTTCTTGTTCTGCTAAATCATATTCTGAGACCTATGTTGAAAAGGAGATACGCCAGCACATCTCCCTGTCGCAGCCCAAATACCATTTATTTAATTAAAATTGTAGATTATTCTCATTAAATTAGTAGTGAATATAAAAATTTCACAAAAAAAATAGTTCCAGAACCGTGCTAAGAAATAAGAAAACCGTGCTTTATTAATGTTTTTTAACAAAACATTTAGAGTATTACACAGTTCGTAATTGTCATCGAAAAATTGCTCTGTACAAAAAGCTGTACATTTTTTAAAACTGTACTAATAATTTTATAGGCATATAGACATAGCATAAAGATGAGTGCCTTTCAGTTATCATTTGCAGCTTACTACATGTCATCATCAAAGGTGTGGTACTTTTTGTCGTTTTACAAAAAATATATGTTGTGTGTTTTTGATTACACAGATTTCTGACTTTCTTGGACATCAAAACTGAAGTGACCACTGTGTCTGTTCCTAACACTCCACGGTCATCTATCCACAAGTATGAATAAAATATATATTATAGATTTTTTACAATAAGTGGTAATATATGTCGAAAATCTACAGAAAATGTTCAAAAATCAACTAAACCTGTATGTAATATTTATTATATGTTATGTTTAATACATCAATATATTTCGTATGATTTTAATTTGCTCAATATTACATTGTCATATATCTAGTCGTAAGTTGTATTCTTATTTATATTATGTTCAGCATTGTAAGATACGTAATAAATCTACTATAAAATTTTCTGTTTTAATCCTGCTTTAATCTGTCCTAATGTAATAATCATAATCTGCTCTGTGCTGGATTCAAACTAAAATTAAAAATAATAAAAACTCGGACAGCTCAAAAAAAAACATAATCGACTCCTAAGAAATGCCGTAATAGCAGATGAGTTCGGAAATAAGATGAATCATGGAATTAAAAAACAGCTAGAAAGATCTGAACAAGAAAATATCGGACAAAATATAGATATACTTAATGAATTCTGCCATGGTTACCATAGCAGACGAAGTTTTGAAATCAGAAAAAGAGCCAGTAAAGAAAAAGGATTGGATGATCGATACCATACTAGACCTTATTCAGCAAAGAAGAAATTGTAAAAATAAAAATGAGACTCGATATAAAGAAATATATCGACAAGTAAGTTATGAGGTTAAGCGGGCAAAAGACGCCTGGATGGAAGAGAGATTAATCTTTTCTGTTTTGGTGTTTTTTCTTTAGATAATCAGTTCCATTTTTGCGGGGTATCCCTAGCTATCATCGTATTTCCTTTGCGTTTTTGTTCCCTCCCCAGATAAGATTGTCGGAGCTTTCGGATAAAATTGTCGGTATCAGTATTACGTGAACCTGGAGATTCATTTATATTTTCAGCAGCAGTTTCAACAAGCGGCCTATCTGTACCAAAACTTACCTTTAAAGTGTACTTTGGGAAATACGAGAGCAGGAATAGCTGCTCCAACAATACAGGATGTTGTAACGAGCGTTCCTGTCGTATACCTCTTTCTGCAAACACTTTTTGGGACATTTGAACGGTAACGGTTCCTATCTAATCTAAATTATAGATTCGAATTCCATCTCCAAACACCGGGAAACGCTTTTAAGACAGTTTTAAATTTATCGAAAAACATTTCAACCTTAAATTTATTGAAACCGGTTGCCCTTGCAAGATCAAAATCTTCTGGGGTCCGGAGGGATAAATTATTGGAATGATGTTTCTGAAATCCTTTCGTCCAGTCAAGTAAAGCGCTTTTTGATGTATGCCAGTGTGCTGGAACCACTATATTATTGTAGGCTACGACTTCACATGACAGTTTTTGAGTATCTTCTCTTGAGAGACCATATAACATTTTAGAACAAGAAAGAATTATGAAGATACAAAAGTTACGAAAATATTTGGAGCAAAGGTAATTTATTGTAGGCATATGGGTAAGGATAAATTTTTATTATGCAACTCCTAGAGCGATCTGCAATCTACCCAATGGTAATAAGCGTTTTTTTTTATGAAAATGATTGATGGCATACAGAGTTTCACTGCAGTGGGTGATTTCCTTGGAAGTCTACATTTGTAAGGATCAATATGGGACGTGTGAAAACAAGGCAAAAGAGCTTGCGATAAAAAAGGGACAAACAAAAACTCTAAAATCACAACAAGTGATTTTAGACAAGAACAAGAATTTCCAAGTCTAGAGCGTAAGTGGCCTATAGAGTTGATATATATAGTAAAATACCATTAACCTTGTTAATCTTACTATCTTTTATGGTTTACAAATTTAGCTTTAATACTTTTTAAAGTTTAATACTTAACTATCTAGAAGATGGACAGAACATTTTAAGGAAAAGCTTGGGGTGAATAGGACGGAGATGAACCCTGATATACCGTTAGACCAAGCAGACAACATAGAAAAGAGTCCACCAACAATAGCAGAGATTAGAACAGCAGTGGACAAATTAAAGAACAATAAATCACCGGGATCGGATCAAATATCATCGGAGCTACTGAAAGAAGGAGGAGACGCATTACTTAAAGCCATACATGAGCTGATAAGAAAGATATGGTTAAATAAAACAGCTACCAAAGGAGTGGAATAGCGGCATTATTGTACCACTACATTAAAAAGGAAACCCAGTTAGAATGTGAAAACTACCGTGGAATCACGCTGTTGAATGCGGCATACAAAATAATGTCCAACGTAATGTATGAAAGACCTAGACCATACGCTGAAAAAATAGTTGGCAAATACCAATGTGGCTTCTGTAGACAGAAGTCAACAATAGACCAGATATTTGTTCTGCGACAGATCCTTGAAAAAACAAGTGAATATAACATCGACACACATCATCTCTTCATAGACTTCGAAAGCGCATATGACAATATAAACCGAGAATTCCTAACAACAGCAATGAAAGAATTTAATATACCAACACAGCTAATAGAATTGATAAAAGAAACACTAAAAGTAAAAAGTAAAATCCGGATACAAAACGAATTAACGGAAACAATAGATGTGAAGAAGGGACTACGCCAGGGAGACGCTCTATCATGCATATTATTCAACATCATACTTGAAAAAATAATAAGAGACACAACAGTTAATACCGAGGAACAATAATTAATAAAAGCGTGCAAGTACTAGCATTTGCAGATGATGTTGACATAATCGCAAGATCAATAAGAGAAATGATAGAGGCATTTCACTCAAATAGAACGAGCTGCAAAAAATAGTGGTCTTAAAATCAATCAGACAAAAACAAAATATATGCCTGCAAATAAAAACGCACAAATAAGGCAGCTGCCAAATTTAACAATAGGAGAATACAACATTGAGGCGGTAAAAAAACTTTACATACTTAGGATCCCTAGTTACGTCTGATAACAACGTTGCAGAGGAAATGAAGAGGAGAATATTTATTGCCAATAAATGTTACCATGGCTTAATTAGGCAACTAAGATCAGATAAACGTCTCCAGAAAAAACAAAATGCCAAATATACAAAACCTTAATAAGACCGGTACTCACATACGGTTCAGAAACCTGGACACTCTCTAAAAGGGAGGAAACGTTATTAGCCACCTTTGAAAGAAAAATCTTGCGACACATATATAAGGGCACAAAAGAAAACGGGATTTGGCGGAGAAGGTATAACTTTGAACTATACAACATATACCAGGATCCGGATATCATAACATTCATTAAAATAGGAAGGCTACGTTGGATTGGACATGTGGAAAGGATGGAAGAAGGCAAAATACCAAACAAAATATTCAAACAAGTGCCAGTAGGAAAAAGAACAAGAGGAAGGACCGAAGCTGAGATACGTAGAACAAATAGAAAATGATATAACAACATTAAAAATTAAAAACTGGAAAAAAAAAAGCACGAAAACAGGTCAGAATGGAGAAGAATCCTTGAACAGGCCAAGACCCAAAAAGGGTTGTCGAGCCAGTGATGATGATGATGACTTGACTATCTTTTTATGGTTTACAAATTTAGCCCTTGTAAATCTATAATATAAAAATGAATCGCAAAATGTGTTAGTAAGCGCATAACTCAACAACACATGAACCAATCTTAACAATTCTTTTTTTAAAATGTTACTTGAAATCTAAGGATGGTCTTTACGGCATGAAAAATTTGAATAATTTCCGGAAAACACTAAAACAGCCCTTTTCTTTTTCCCATACAAATATTTTCTAACTAAATGTGGAGTCAGTTTGAAATTCATTGCTATTCAATAAAATTTATACTAAATTACAAGCACAACATACAATTGACCATGTGAGAAACTAAATCCATGTTCCTCACACGATCAATTGTATGTTGCCTGTTCTCGTGTTGGAAAATCATCAGATTTGTTTGTATATTCACCAGGTAATCAAACAAAAAACATTGTATATCATAAAGTACTACAAGAGAAGGAAAACAGGTTTGTGTTAATAATTATGATTCACTTGCTTTACAATAAAGAGATTACTGAAAATACTTATGTACAGTTATATTAAAAAAAAGGGTACAAGTATTAGAAAGGGAAGTTAACGTCATCCTATTTGTGTAAAACCGGCTGGGATTTTTGGAGGTTATCAAATGTCATAAGTGATCAAAAATGCAACTCATAGACGTCAAAGACGTTTAATTTGATAGAAGGTTTAACGTTACGTACAATAAAAAATTAATATGCCTCATCATTTAAGTGAGATTGAAAAGGCTCAAATAATTACGAAAATGGAAGAGGGGATGGTCAATTCGTGCGCTAGCAAATTTCTATAATAGAAATTTGAAAACAATCTTCAGAATTAAGCAACGATGAGTGCAACAACAATCATTAAAAAGAAAAGTTGGTTCAGGGCGTTCCAAAGTATCCACTCCTCAACAAGATGCTGCTTTAGTTCAATTCTCAAGAGATAATCCATTTGCGACGTCGAAGGATTCAAGGATTCATACGGGAATTTCCTGGTGCCCAACCTACTGTAAGCAGAAGGATCAATGAATCTGAATTAAAAAACCGACCAGCTGCTAAAAAATCATTAGTAACTGTTGAACATCGGCAAGCAAGAGTAATATTTGCACTAAACTATATTTACCTCAACCCATAATTTTGGAACAACGTCATTTTTACTGATGAAAAGACTTTTCAGTCGACCTATAACGGTCAAATCCGTGTTTATCGTCCAGCCAATACTAGGTTTGAAGAACGATTATATTCATTCTCATAATAAATCTGGACGTTTTTCTGTAAATGTATGGGGTTGGATTAGTATACAGGGACCTGGTGTTTGTTGGCGATTAGAGGGAAGATTTACTGCCGACAATTACATTAACGTTTTGGAACACGTAATGCTCCCTTCTATTGAGCAATTGTATCCTAATAATACTTTTATATATTAACAAGATAATTGTTCAGTCCACACTGCCCATGCCGTAAGGAATTGGTTTCAAACGCAAAACCTGGAAGTATTGCCATGGCCTGCGCACAGTCCAGATATAAATCCAATTGAAAACATTTGGGGCATAATTGTTAAAAAAATATATAAAAGAAATTTTGTGCCACAAAATTCAGATCAATTGTGGAATACAATCTTGAGTGCTGGGAAGATCTTGATCCAAATATGATATCTAATATAATTCAAAGTATGCCAAATAGACTAAATAAAGTTATAGAAGCAGACGGTTCTATCACCAAATACTAAATTCTATTTGTAAGTCATTAAAATT